TCACTTCAACAGAACACTAAGTTGAGAGTATTATTCCTCTCAGGACTTTAATGATATTCTCCCCTTGTCCTCTGGTTTCTATTATTGCTGTTGAGAGGTCAGTCCTCTGTCTCACTGTTATTCTTCTGCAGGTAACTGAATTTTTTTAATATACAGGAATACCTTGGTTTGCGAGCATAATTCGTTCCAGAAACAAACTACTCATATTGCAAAACATCGCTCGCTTACCACGTTAAAATGTATTAGAAATATTTGCTTGTCTTGCGGAACACTCACAAACCAAGTTACTCACAATCCAAGGTTTTACTGTATATTTTCTATGATTATTTTTTTCTTGTTTTGTTTTAAGCAGCTTTATTGAGATATAATTCACATGCCATGGTAACTGTATTTTCTCTCCTGTTGCTTTTCAGATTTTCTAACTCTGATATGGTTGTGAAAATTAAACTTGATTAAGTAAAGGGATATCACATGTGTACTCAGTAAGTCAGTACCACATGCAAATCTTCATATGAACTGGTCATAATTCTGAGCATATAGTGGCTATTAATAAATACTCATTATATTTAACTGAAAATTGGACCAGGATTTTAAAAGAAGGTGGCATGCTCCCATCTGCATTTAGTGCTTTTTCCCTGCCCTTCATTTGCAGAGTATAGCCCCTGCCTGCATCCCAGTTGCTCTTCACACTAAACATGAGACAGCTTGATTTGCTTTTTTGTTTTTCTTCCTTCTACCCTCTGCTATTGTGAATGTCTAACAAGGTTAATATGCTGCTGCTGTAAGTATTGTCATTTGGGATGTAATTATCACATGTGGCTAATCAGGCACATACTGAGAGGCTGGGCAACATGTTTTTAACTGGCCGGGACAGCTTAATGATAGTTTTTGACAAGGACCATTATATGTGTGTGTATATATACACATATATACACAATGCAGTAACACACTGTAGAAGGAGACATAGTGAAGATGGAGAAGGAGAAAGTACCTGCCAACAGAATAGCTGACATTTTTTTAACATAGTCCTTGTATCGGCAACAGTAGCTTGTTAACCTCATTTAATAGGGAAGGAAATGAAATTCAGAGAGGTTAAATCAAATGTCAAGGCCATGCAGTAATTGGGTGGCAGGCCCAGGAAAAGAACAGAACAGAGCTGCTAAACTGTTAGTGAATTGCTTTCCTATAAAGCCAAATTCAAAAGATAATCAAATGTTTCTAATTCTCGATGGTAACTTTTGCAAAAGCATTTATAAATGCATGTCAGGATTTCAGATGTCTACCGGACACTAGAAGCTGCTTTTTCCCTGGGCCATCCGCCACGTACAGATGTGGAGAATACCCCTTGCCATGGTATTTGTAGACTAGCCTGTACCCATGTTAACAGCAACCATGACAACAATATTTTTGAACACTGACCACACGTACTAAATGAGTTGTTACCTTAAAGTGCCTGGAATGATATTTGGCACATTGTTACGTGACTTGGGCTAAGATTGGCTCATGTTGCTACCTCATTAATATATTGTTTCCAAATAGGTTCTATGGGCTAGTTTCAGTAATTTTCAAATACCTTATTTTATCTTCCCTAGCCCACCTATGATTTGAAAAAGAACACAATTTATAA